CCCCCCCCCCACAGCTTCTGGCCTGAGCCACTGCGGGCATGTGGCTGCATTTCCTGAATCAAAGGTAAATGTCTGTTCACTTCTGTTTCAATTTAATGTGTGCATCTTAGACCAACTGCAAAGACTGAATCAATTCAATCTCAGGCTTTTTGGCTATCTGTACTTAGGCTTAGAGAGTATTTTACTTGCAGGAGACTTGTAGAATGTTGCCCTTTCTTCTTTGTGGTTTCATTTACTCTCGGGTTTTTTCTGTGTTGGTAACATTTTTATAAATTCTGAGCATTAGTCATAATTGTAAACCCATCTCCAACTATTTAATGGCATTGTTTAGGACAAACTCCAGATGAAAGGCCAAAGCCTGACCCCTGATTTTGACCCTTTTGCTGCATCACTTTGGTGATTTAAATTTAAGTCAGGCAAGGATAGCACCTTATAGATCAATAGCAGCCAACCCATGGCATGTGTGTCAAAAGTTGCATTAGGGTGGCACATGGCAGACTGGGGAAGAAGCAGGGAACACAGAGGCAGGTAGGGCAGGAAGCACAAGAGGAAAAGGCTGTTAGGGGAAGGGGACTGGAGTGGCACTAAGGGAAGTTGTGAGGCTTCCTTTGTGACATGCCTACCAAAAAGGCTGCCCCCATGCTCCCCTCCCCTATTGGTCATGCAACTAAGGTTCCCCCTGGCATGACATACGTTTCTTGTAGATGTAGAGAGAAGAGGAGCACTGCTGCACTCCAGTGATCCCTAACTAACATAACAGCCTTTTTGAGTGATCAAGAGCAGGTTAGAGGTGTGCTGAGGGCACTCTAGCTTAACCAGGGAGTCCAACTGATCCTTTCCAAATCCAGATATCAGAAAAATACAATGGTGACCTGCTTCTGGCTCATGGTCAAAGTTCCTAATTTTCAAGTTTAGCACAAAGACTTCAAGTTATCTACAAACAGTTTAGTAGAGAAGATCAGGAGTGGACTAGGTTTGCCTTTCACCATATGTTCAGGATATGGGAATATGACAATATTAAAACAGGTCCTGAAGCACTTAAAGAAATAAATCTCACTCATAGGTTTTACTCTGTGATTTTTTGGGGAAGCTTCTTTCCTGTTGGCTGACTTTTTTTAAGCTACATCTTCACATTACTGGGGGCACTTTTCAGCTTTAATCTTTCCTCTAGCCCCCTTTTCCTGCTACCTCTGTCATCACTAGAAACAGTTTGCCAACAAGGAATTTTGAAGTAACTGGTTAGTGGTCACAGAGGGAGTTCACACAAGAGAGGAGACTAGGGCTCAGTACAGACAGTCCAAAAAAAAGCCTGTGGCTAAACCAATTCAGTGTTCACAGGTTAGACAAAGATGCATTGATTGAACTTATAAGCAAGTAAACACACTCATTTTTGATTCTGGAAATGAAGCCACATGACTAGAGTAGCCCAGGTCAGAAGCATTAAAGCATGCTTCCCTGCTCAGCTAGAGCAGCAGACAGACTGGGCCAAGGCTTGCCTGTCCACCATATGAAGGAGGTGCAAAGCATTTTGGGGATGCCAGGGGAGTTAACCTGAATCTGGAGGGCATCTAAGACTGAAATTCAATAAACCAATTTAACCTAAATCAGTTAAGAGTGCAGACAGAAGTGACAATTTTTGCCTGATTTGGCCAGAGAAAGCAGTTTATAGCTGTGAACAAACACAAGTGCATGGCTGTAGACAGCTTAAACAATAGCAGATTGAGTGAGAATCTAACCCCTCATTGCATGAGGTATCAAATGAAGATGTTTCAAAATACAGCATCTTCTGTGACTTGTGTCTGCAGAGCTCCCAGTCCGTCACTGTTTTCAGAATGGGAGGTGAGAAAGGGAGTGGAGGGGATTTTGATCTGGGGGTTTTTCAGCCCCTGCTGGAGGGTGAGGCAGGTGTATTGGGGTCTCCACCCCAAGGTGGTGGTGGAGCTCCAATTCACCCACCCCATCCTTCAGCACCGACTGGGGAGCCCCAAGAATGAGCTCCCTCTGCTGCCTTTTCCCCCTCCCATTCTGAAAACAGCGAGCACTGGCAGACAGCCATGGCCCTTGCTATGGGAACCTGGCTGTAAGCTCCCAGTTGGCATCTAGATTCCCCTCCCCCTGGAACTAACAATGAACTTTTGTTTGGTTCAGGATAATGTTGTAACTCAGAACGCTTTGCAGAAAATGTTCTGAGTTACAGCTGGGAACTGCACTTCTGTCTGCACCTTAAGTTTGACACAACATCTGTCCAGGTCTATCTTAAACCGGTTTCAGCCATTTTGAAAGCAGTTTATGTGCATTGAACTTCTGTTGTGTTACAGATTTGAACTGCTTTACTATTGCTTATACTGTTTTTGTGTAATTTCTGTCCCTTGCTTAGAAGTCTGAAGATTCTGGCTCCTGATCCTGGTTTTAGAATATTATAGCAGGGCATAAGCCCAGCCCCACCATCCATCACCAGGGCTTGTTCCATGTTGAGTTTTGCCCATGCAGTGTGTGGACTGCCAGATCTGTCAATCAGAACTTTTCCATTCTTTTCCAGATTTTAGATGTCAGTGCAAAAACCACCTCAGCTACAATCTATGTGATAGAAGACAGTTTTATTAAATCCGTGTGGTCAGAGGAGAATCATGTCTTGTCTCTGAATTTCCGACAAACAACCAATGCCAAAATAGTTTCAAAGTAAGTTGACAAGTTAAATTCAACTACTAATGGGAAAAGGCTAACGTGTCTATTTCATTCAAAACCATGGTTTGGTGCAGAGAAGTCCTTTATAATACTGTACGAGTCTCAATGATTTAAATCATTCTCCCTCCCTTGTTTTTTTACCCTATTAGTTATTGCACTTTTGTTGTCTCACATTAGGGTTTGTTCCTACAAACCCACATGAACTTTTACTCATGCAAAATGAACTACTACAATGGGGCTGCTGCTGGCTCCAACACGTAAGCTCTTCAGGCAGAATCTATGTCTACCTGTACATTTATTAATTATTGCATCTCCTTGCTTCAATGTCTGCACATTCACATGGCTACAACCTCTATTGTGTGTGTAAAAGCTTTGTACTTTTACTAACTTTAGGTAAATTTAGGTTGGAGATTAGGAGGAACTTTCTGATTATGAGGATGGTCAGGCATTGGACAGGCTACCTAGAGAAGTTGTGGAATCTCCATCCTTGGAAGTTTTCAAGAGCAAATTAGACTGACACTTGGGTAGGGATGATCTTGCAGGGATGATCTTGCCTTAAGCAGCAGACTTAACTAGATTATCTTGTAAGATCCCCTCCAGTCCCACTTTCCTATTATCCTATGACTCCTCAGGCCACATTATATATATAAAATTATAGATAAATATATAAAATATAAATATTTACATTTTATTATATACACATGCACATGTACACACACTTATATATATATAAGATGTGTATGTGCATGTGCATGTTCATATAATAAAGTTATATACGGGTGGGTTTACACGAGACGCTACTGCGCAGTGGTTACCACACATTTATTTGGTACAGGCAATCCCCACTTAGCACTCTTAATTGGTTCTGGAAAAACTGAGCACTAAGCAAAACCCATTTCCCCATTGGATTTAATGTAAATAAAGATAATTGGTTTTGCACCACCTGCTGGCCCAGACCCTGCGCTCCTGCAGCCCCACCCTAGGCCCTGCCAGCCTGGGCCCTATGCTCCTGCTGGCATTGGGGGACCCACCTGCCCAGGGATTTATGGTGAGAAGGCAGCAGGGCTCTGGCATGGGGTAAACAGTGGGACTGCTCACCCACCCATGCCCCACTTTGCCTAGTGCAAACTCCTTTCAGGATAACCGGCACAGATCACTGCAGGGGGCGGGGGCGCTCTGTGGGTTTGGCTTGCATTGGCCTGGGCCCTGCGCTCCTGCCACCCTGGGCCCCGCACTCCTGATGCTCACCCTCCCTGGGCTCTGCACTCCTGCCGCCTACACGACCCTTCTTGCTGCTGCCACTGCTCCTCCCTGCCCGCTAGCTGCTCCAGCACCACGTGCCAGAGCGGACCCTGTGCTCCTTCCACCTCACCCTGGGTCCCAGCAGCTTGGGTTCCAAGCTCACACTGCTGCCCCCCCCGCTTCTCGCTGCTACTGCTCCTCCCTGCCCGCTCCAGCACTACGTGCCAGAGTGGACCCTGGGCTCCTGCCACCCCTCCCTGGGCTCTTGCCAGCTGCTACTCACCACTTCCCTCAACGCTGACGCTGACACCACTGCTCCTCCCCATGTCTGTGCTGAGCACTATAACAAAATGCACTCAGCGCTAAGTGAAACCAGGTAGGTGTTTTAAATTAGCGCTATAATGAAACCACGCTAAGTGAAACCACATTAAGGGGGGTTTGCCTGTACTTGTATAATCAAGTACCAAATAAATGCACAGTAATAGTTACTGCACAGCAGCACTGGCTTTTTAGTGATGCTACTGTATAGTAGCCGAATAATACTGTGCAGTAGCATATTAGCACTGTTGATGCTGTGATGTGCTACTGCGCAGTATTATGCAGCTACTGCACAGTTAGTGTCTGATGTAGATGCACCATATATATGTGTTTGTTTTATTTAAACATGTCATATTTGAAGAAACATGGTAGATTTCCTTCAATTCTCTCTAGTGTTAGAACCTTCTTATACTTTAAAATGGATAAAGATTTGCAGTATCCTGTAAATACTCAAATGAGGATGACATACTCCTCAAGAGTTACATGCTATGGTTCAGGCAAGTGTAATAACATCTTTTGTATGATTCCGGTATTATTTCAAAGTGCTCACAGCCTTAACAGTGGTTTTCAATATGCACATGCACAGGCAGAAGCTGGAACTGAAGTCAACAGAAGCTGGCCCTAGAGAGATTGCTGGGAAGCAGGCTGCCAGCGTTATCAAGAAATTGGACTCAAGTTATGTAGCTGTTCCACTAGTAGCAGAGCCCATCAAGGCTGAGTGCAAAAACTGCCCATCAGTAAGTAAACATACTGTTAATACTCCTTTACGTGCAGTTCAGGAAAGTGTGTAAAGCAAGTTTGAAAAAAAAAATTTCTGTGCAATTTCATGCATCTGAGAGATTCCCAACATACCAATATAAAATGCAGCATCTCATAAGAACTTTTGAGCATTACAGTGGTGCTACAGTGGCCCAACAATTGAGGCAGAGTTAAGATTTGCATTTAACATGAAATCAAACTTTTTTTACTCTCAAAAAATATAGCACGTTCCCTCCAATGTACAGTGCACACTCTTAAAGAGTAGAGAACAACATTTCTGAGAACTTATAGGTAAATCCATAAATGTATGCCTTGTAATTCTATCAATTAAAATGGGGCCTTTCCTATTTTTGATGAGTTTAACTCCTACCCCCTAACAATTTTTTTTGAGATTGTATTTGTTTATATACTAACATAAGTTAATGTAAAAGCTACCCTTTAACTAACTCTCATTTCTAAACATTTATACTGTTGTCATAATGTTTGCCAATGGATATGTTAATCAATACCATATTTACTCAAATCTCAGATGATCCTGAATTTAAGCTGACCCCCTCAATTATTACACTATAGACATGGAAAATTATTAATTTAATTTTCCATCAAGTCTAGAATCTAGTTATTGGAAGGTCCTTTTAAATTCATCCCTCCCACCACTGCTACAGGGAAAGTAGTGGAAGGTGAAGCAGCAGCTGCGGGGCAGGTAGCCTGCTTCATATCCCCCACCTTGCCACTTGCCCTCTGTGCCTGCTCCCTGCCTGCCACCTGTCTTCCTCCAGTACCTTCCCCCACCTACCAATTGTCCCCTTCATCTTTGCAGCTCATGCTGTGTCTGCTGGGGGCATGAAGCATCTAGCTAGCTCAGGCAACAGCAACTGCTTTGGCTTCAGCCTCCAGCTCTAGCTGGGGTTGGGGCTCCACATACCCCTTCCCCATGTCCCTTTCCCCGCACGTCTCCTGCACTGCATGCCCCTTCTTTGTGCTTTTCTCGCTGCACACTCCACTTCCACCTCATTGTTCCCCACTCTCACCCTCCTGCGCGTGTCCCTTCCCTGTGCTCCTCCCAGCACCACGTACCCTTTCCCCATGCATCCTCCCCATGCCTCTTTCCTGCACTCCCCCACAAGCCCTTTGCTTGTGCTCCATGTCCCTTTCCCTGTGCTCCCTCTGCATTGTATAACCCTTCCCCATGTTTCCCCCACACTCCCCTTCCTTTTGCTCTCTTGTTCTAGATGTTACTTCCCCCACAAACCTCCCCACTGCCCTTTCCCTCTGTGTTCCCACCCCACACTGAGTCCCTTCTCCATGGTTCTATACCACACACTCTTTCCTCTGTGCTCTCCCCTGAATTTCACTCCTCTCACTCTACATGTCCCTTCCCCTGTGCCATTTCCCCATGTTCCATGTGCCCCTTTCCCCACCTCACCTTGCTCCCTTCCCCCATACCCCCTGCTGCCTTTCCCCCCCATGCTCCCACCATACTGTGCATGCCTTTCCCATGCTCTCCCTACTTTCCACACGAGCCACACTGACCCCATCCAGAGCCACAGCAGCTCCCTGCCTTGTCCGTACTCGTTCGTAAGATGAGAGGCCTTTTCCCCCATGCTGAACACTCATCTTAAATTCAAGCACTGAATGCAGTTGCTGGTGAATGGATACTTCAGAATTTAAATATTATGGTTCAAACTTTTTTTTTTAATGTGAGAGATGTGGCTCCAATTCAGGGGTTGGCAACCGTTGGTCCACAGTTCAAATCTGGGCTGCAGACCTTAACTCCAGCCCACAAAGGCCTGATCTAGGGGGGATTGGAGATGCACAGAAGCTGTTCTCAAGTCTCCTGCTGCCATCATAACTCGCTCTGTTTTGTGCTGAATGCTGGCTGCTTGTACTCCCTTCATCTCTGCTCACTCTTGCTGCTGAGTTAGTTGATCTGTTGGCCACACTTTGGTGCAGTGCTTGGTAAGTGAAGGCTGCAGTGGGGAGGCACAGTACACCAGCCCTTGCCACAGTGGGGCACTGTGGAGATGATAGGCAGCCCATGACAGTGGCTGGGTCATAAGCACTGGCTCACCATTCCAAAAAGTTGCCAAGCCCTGCTCAATTAATTAAAGACTTCCAAAGGAAGTACCTGTGCACTGTTTTGGAGACTGCATTAGTTATGTGGCAGTAAAAATGCACTGTACTATCATATCTTGTCTGGCATTTATATCATTATAAAAAAGATTTTTTTTAAAAGTCAGGAAAGTGAAACAGAAGTGATATTTTATGCATGCTGAAGTAGTCCTGAGTGGGGAACTTCAGATCAAGCAGATTGGGAATAGATGCCCTCAAAGGGTTATGCCTCTAAAGTGTTTGCACCAAACAATTTGTCACTTCCAATTGTTAGAGCTGAGGTCAAATCATCTTGATTAAAATTTGTCATAATAGTTGTGAAGATAATTTGCAAGCCAAAATAAAAACCAAAGGGTGTATTTACAGAGCAAATCGTGTGGAATGAGACATGATATTCTCATTATAAATCTAATGGAACGCTGAGAATGAAGTCCTGCTTCCCTACTGTATTTTACTGTAACTGCTTTGAAAAAAGACTAATCTATAAACAGAACACTGTATCCAAAGCAGCAACATAATATTTGGTACTTATATATCATTGTATACATTAATACCACACTGATATGATATACCACACAGCTTTACATTTTCAAAATCCTTTACAAACATTAACAAGACCTACTGACACCCATGTAATATAGGAAAAGTAACCATTACTATGCCCATTCTAAAGGTTGGAAATCAAGGTACTGAGGTTAAGTCAACAGTTTTCAAACTTGGCTGTCTAAAGTTAAGCCTACAAGTCTGTATTTAGGCATCTTAAGAAATTATTTGATTTTCAGCAATAGTAAGCAATCATAATTAGGGTCAGAGAAGAGAGTGACAAAAGCAGTGTCATGGTAGGTGTCTGCTACAGATTACCAGAACAGGAAGATGTTGTGGATGAGGCATTCTTCAAACAGCTAACAGAAGTTTCCAGATCACAGGACCTGGTTCTCATTTGAGGCTTCAAAATCACCCCAATTCATTATCTTTGAAAACTCGTGGCAATCGGGAGAGGTCCCAGACAAGTGGGAAAAGGGCAAATCTAGGGCCCATTTTTTCCCAAGAAAGGAAAGAAGAAGGATCTGGGGAACTACAAACCAGTTAATTTCACCTCAATCCTTGGAAAAATCATGGAGCAGGTCCTCAAGGAATCCATTTCTAAGCACTTGGAGGGCAAGAAGGTGATTACTAATCACTGATTAGGAACAGTTAGCTTGGATTCACCAAGGGCAAGTCATGCCTGACCAACCTGATTTCCTTCTATGATGAAATGACTGGTTCTGTGGATGCAGGAAGAGCACTGGATGTGGTGTACCTTGACTTTAGTAAAACTTTTGATATGGTCTTCCACAACATTCTCACAAGCAAGCTAAGGAAGTATGGCTTGGATGAATGGACTGTAAAGTGAATAGAAACTGGCTGGATCAGTGGACTCAAAGGGTAGTAATCAATGGCTCCGTGTCTAGTTGGCAGTCAGTATCAAGTGGAGTACCCCAGGGGTTGGTCCTGGGGCTGTTTTTTTTCAATGTCTTCATCAACGATCTGGAAAATGGGATGGAGGGCACCCTCAGCAATTTTGCAGATGAAACCAGCCTGGGTGGAGTAGTGAATATGCTGGAGCGTAGGGCTAGGATTCAGACAGGCCTAGAAAAATAGGAAGATTGGATGAAAAGACATCTCATGAAGTTCAATAAGGGTAAGTGCAAAGTCCTGCACTTAGGATGGAACAATCCCATGCACTGGTACAGGCTGGGGACTGACTTGCTAAGTAGCAGCTCTGCAGAAAAGGACTTGGGCATTACAGTGGATAATAAGCTGACTATAATACAAAAGTTTGCCCTTGTTGTGAAGGAAGTAAGTGGCATACTGGGCTGCATTAGCAAGAGTATTGCCAGCAGATTGAGGGAAGTGATTATTGCCCACCATTTCGCACTGGTGAGACTACATCCGGAGTACTGTGTCCAGTTTTGGGCCCCCCACTACAGAAGGGATGTGGACAAATTGGATAGAGTTTAGTGGAGGGCAAAAAAAATAGTTAAAGGGCTAGGGAGCATAACTTATAAGGAGAGGCTGAGGGAACTGTGCTTATTTAGGTTGGAGAAGAGAAGACTGAGGGAAGATTTAATAGCAGCCTTCAACTACCTGAAGGGGGGTTACAAAGATGAGGAGCTAGACTGTTCTCAGGGATGGCAGATTACAGAACAAGAAGCAATGGTCCCAAGTTGCAGCAAGGGCATTTTTAGGTTAGATGAGGGAAAAAACCCTCACTAGGATGGTAGTAATGTGCTGGAACAGGCTGCCCAGAAAGACTATGGAGTTTCCATCCTTAGATGTTTTAAGCCCTAGATAGACAAAGCCTTGGCTAGGAAGATATAGTTGGGGGTGGTCCCTCTTTGAGCAGTGGGGTTGGACTAGATGACCTCCTGAGGTCCCTTCCAACTGTAATTTTCTATGATTCTGTGATAATTTCTCCTAGCTTGCAGTCCTTCTGCATATCCAACAGTTGATGTTGGTGATTAACTCAAGTCATCTGCAGCTGGTCTGGACTGGGCCCACAGACTGGCCCTGTGGATGGGATCCAGTGCACAGGGCTGGTCCAAGGCTCATGCAGAATGTGGGGCTGTCTGGAGTGCATTCTGCATGTAGCAACCATGTCAGACCAGCCCCACACACTGCCTCTGGTGCACAGAGACAGTCTATGGGCCTGATCTGGCCTATGGACTTGCCTCACGCCCTTCATCCAGCTCACAGAGCTGAGTAAGTTTGATACCCCTAATCTAAGTTGATGCATATTACAATGATTATCTAGAATATGCCAACTGAAGCTGCATCACTTGTTACTTCAAATCTATGTCTTTGCCTCCTATATTTATACAGTTCA